CACAGTACGCAGAGAGAATCCTTGCCCGGAGAACCTGTTTTTATTCTGGCCAAAGGGGTGAAATCAATACACATTGTATTGTCTCATAGATTTTACTCAGTTTATCAAAAAAACCCCAAAACTATTGACACGGAAAAAGTGCCTTATGGTGTACGCCCCTCTCCTAATTCTGTTCCTAATTCTTTGCCTAACCTGTCATGACTACAGGCAGTGCGTTTCTGAACTAAGGGAGTTAGTATCCTGGGCAATTTCCCTGAGGAATCCCGGACAGCAGAATTCGTACGCTTTCCAGACAAGTCCCCTTGGCCCTTTGCCACTCGTGAGTGGCCCCATCGTAACCTCCAGACATCATGCAAGTGTTTTGAAAGTCAGCAAGTGGCTAATGAGTTGATCACTAGGAAGTTGTCTCCCAACATGAAGGATTTAGATTAAATTAGAGAAAGCACAGAGAAAATCATTACAGTGGGGTAAAAATCATGACGAGTCCTTTTTCATGAAAGTAACATGCAAACAGCATGAAGTGTGAAGGTAACGTGGGTACTACAAAAATTACTTGAAATAAAGTTTTTAAACATTCAAGTCTTAAAATTCAGGTAAAGGTCTGCATTTGCTTGGATCGTCATACCAAAAGAGCAGAACTTGGTGCCAGCCTCTGAATTACAGCAGGACATTCCGGGTTCCTTGCAGAAGTTGCCTTGCTTGAGGACTGGACCGATTGCCCGGCTCGGGGGAATCACGCGGAGCTCTGCACAGCCCTGCTGCTCACAGGAGCCATCGCAGTACGGCCAAAGCTCTCAGCAGAACTGCTGCACCTCTTAAAGCAGAAAGATGTCCAAGAGTGTGAACAGACTTTTCCCTGGACCTAGCTCAGACTGTGGAAGCATTTTCAGTTGCTATTAAAAAGCATCAAATGACAGACAACAATTTCAAAATCTTTAGGCAAGCAGAATAATTTGAGTTTAAGGAACTGCTTAACTGGAATTTCACCCAGTCGTGACTGCCTTTTAAGGTCGTTGGCAGCAAATGCCCACAAACAGGTTTCGTATATTAACTGAGGTAGAATAAATATGCCTTTATTTCCAGCTGCTATTTCAAAGGCTATGGAAATATCAGAAACAAACTGTTATCCAGCCGTGTCTTAATCGCAGCGCTACAAACGTGCTTTCAATTGGGCTGCTACAGGGTGTTGCCTCACGCCATTCTAGAGGGGTGACTTCTTAGCTCCTTGTGCTCTTGAGGTTTGATCTAAGCCACGCTCAAATTAATGGGCTCTCACTAACTTCACCTGGGCTTAGATCCCACACCTAAAATCCTGGTTAATTAAAAAAAAAACCAAACTCGGGACCATAATGCCAGGATACAGGCAGGGATGTGTAGGAAACACAACATAGCCCACATCAGAGAAAATATTGTCAAACCAGTGGTGTGCATGCCTGAATGGTTCGTTCCTGCACCGTAATTACGTGCTGTTTCACATTGTTGTTTTGTGGGGAAAACACGTTCTTGAACGTCAGGAAATAAATGGGCAGTTTTAATGTGATTTCAAACAGGGAGAGTGTTTTGACATGAATTGATTTACTTCAGTTATGGTTTTGCTTATTTAGCTAGCCATGATTAAAACCGATGTTGCCACAAATACAAAGACACAGAAATGCGAATGCCAGATCGAAATAGAAATTGCCCTTATGGTTTATACCAGTATAGCACCTTTTGACTGTAAGCCTCTTGAGTTGGGTGGGAGGAGAGCAGGTACCACCTTTTGGGGCACAAGTAGTCATCACAATGCCGTTATCTCCGTTATCAAACAATGTGGTTTTAATTGGTATTAAGTCCTGTTCCTAATTATAATACCAGTGGGCAAGGCTTGACTGCAGATGTCCTTGTGCCTGAATTTCTGATCTGAAGAGCAGAGATGATGCTTTTCCAACTCTGCGCAGTTACTGGAAACATATTGAAGAGGAAATCCCAATTAGCGTGCTGCAAGACGTAGTAACTGTGGGGTACGGTCCTGCATTGCTGCCTATTCGGTCACGGCTCTCCGTCTGTCTCAAAAGCAGTGTTGAGAGGTGTGTTTTCTCATTCCCAGGCCTGCTCGGACCTAATCGAGACCTGCCAGATGTGGGGAGCCTTTGTGAAATCTAACATGTATGTAATGAGGGGCTGATTCATACCCCACTGCCATCCCAGGGAAAATCCCCAGTGGCATCATTGGGCTTCGGCGCGTGGCCAGAGTCTCGGTAACTTCCTTATTTCTCTCTCCTACATAGGGGATATTCCTCAGCTGTACCCAGGCAGATGAGAACATAAATCTTGTCCGCAACTATCTGGTATGAATAATTTTTCCAAAAGTAAATAAATCATCCCTGTTTCCTCTCACCCACAGCACCTGGCAAACTGTTAACTGAAAAACTGAGAAAATGTTGTCTCGTTTGTGAGCCAACTTAAATCATTCTACAAATCTTTATTTTTAATTCCTTGTTAGAAAACAGAACCAATTGAAACTGGCTGGCAGAGGAAATGTGCCCCCCTCTTCCCCGCCCCCCCTCTGCCTGGCTTAGTAATGTAACTGCCAGTTTCTGTTTTCGCCTCTGTAGAATTATATGCATCTATTTGAAACTTTTGACAACTCAGTCTATTTTCATTCTCCCTCTGCCATAAATTCGATCCATATGTCTTTAAAACATCCTTTCATAGCTTTAACGTGGAAAAGGAAGTGGCTTAGGCTCTGTATAGGAGGCTACAGTGTATTTAAAGCAAGCTCTTCTCGTTTGCATGCATCGCTGCTGTTAGCTCTTAAAGCCTCGACTTCCTAATTATTCAGGTTACAGAGGGCATTGGCAGAGTTTTCTCCATTAACTAACAGTGATGTACAGTGAAGAAGCACAGCGGGGTAAATCATTCCCTTATCCTGAAAATATCCAGGAAGTTTTTGATGCAGCCCTTGGCGTTACCACCAAGCAGGATGCAAAGAGGATGTGAAAAGGGTAGGAGAGATCAATTCGGCATAAAATTTCAAAAGAAAACATCAAGACAAAGCAACAAAGCTCTTGCACAATGCACTGCCGTTCAGCTGGCAGGGTTTTGTTTGACAAGAATACACAGCACCTACGTGACAGGAGGTCACTGCAATAGGAGTGAAGTATCTCCACATCTAAGGCTGAACCAGGGTCGGAAGGTGAGGGTGGGAAGGAAATGTGGGTGTAAGCTGAAATACATTGGTATGGCTGTGCGGGGATCAAAGTTGAAAAATCAAAAATACAGGATGTGGCGGGGTAAGAGCACAGGCAGTCGTGGCTGTAAGCGTCCTCGTCTGAAATCATGGAAAATTTAGGCTGGAGTATGCTACTGGAGTTGCAGGATAGATCCGTAATTAAAAATATGGTCACAACTGAAAGTATGGTAGCAACAAGGGTACGGGAACACTGCCTGAGTGGACTGCAACAGGCTTTTCAGAATCCCTCTGCGCTGTGGATGCAGTGTCACGCTGTGTTCCATCAGGTCCACTCTCCCAGCCCAGCCTCAGGCACGTGTCCACGCTCCCCACATCACATTCCCACCCTTCTCTCTGCCACATGGAGCAATCAAGTGGCCAAAGGATGACAAAATTCAGCTCACTCATTTTGAAGAGAAACTATTCTCTACCTGAAAGGAGGTTGTAGCAAGGTGGGGGTCAGTCTCTTCTCCCAAGAGATAGGACAAGAGGAAACGGCCTCAAGTTGTGCTAGGGGAGGTTTAGGGTGGTTATTAGGAAAAATTTCTTCACCGAAAGAGTTATCAAACATTGGAACAGGCTGCCCAGGGAAGTGGTGGAGTCGCCATTCCTGGAGATATTTAAAAGATGGGCAGACGCGGTGCTGAGGGACGTGGTTTAGTGGTGGACTTGACAGTGTTAGGTTAATGGTTGGACTTGATGACCTTGAAGGTGCTTTCCAACCTAGACAATTGTATTCAACTAATGGATTTCTGGGAGGAAAGCAGGGGAGGCAGTATTTTTTTGGATATCTACGTTGCGCTGACGTGCATTGCCGCTGCAGATCTGCCATGCTTGACCAAAAGTAATGAGTGAAAAGGCTGGCTGGGGGGAGGTGAATGACTGCCCCTTTCAGAGGCCGCCTGTGTCTTAACGTGAAACGGTATGTCAAGTTTTTTGTAGCCTCCCCGATCTTCGCTGCCATTCCCAGCCAATTCACCCAAATGGTCTTGACTGTGCCAACAATGCAAATGAGTTGTCGGGATATGCGTAGAAGTATGACGGAGTCCCAATAATAGCTACATAAAACTGCTTGCAAATCCGTCGTTCTGCTCAGTTACTGTGCAGTAAAGCTCCTGTGTGCAAGAAGATGAAATGGAAGGAGAGTGTGTGTGTGTTGAATGCCTGTGTGCAATATAATTATCTTTCTAATCTCACAGAAGGGTGATTTATAGAGATGAAAATATAGCCAACCTTAAAACTTGTGGGCGTAGTTTGGCGTATCCAAAGGTTCGCACATGTAGAAACCACTGTCTCTGCATGCAGGTTCAAAGACCTGGCATAGCCCACGGTTTTGTTTTCAGAGTTGCAAAGATAGCAGCTCCCATTTACCTTAGATGGACTTGAGATTATCTTCCACACCTCTAAAAATCAGGCCTTTATATCTAGCAATCTGCATACAGCTGTTCAAAACCAAGCTGTCTGTGCACAGCCGAGTTGTTGTATAAACAATATTAGAGACTTCACTAAAGCTTTTCATGTAGTTTTATCTCAACTGCAATTTGTTTCTAGTTTTTCAAGGCTGTAGAAACATCCAGCCTTACTCCCTGGAGCCCGGTTTCACCGTTTCAGCCATTCCAGTGGTATTTACAGCACTGTTTGATTTTATTTGAACTGTTCAAAAGACCTCAAGTCCCCCAAGAATGGTACAAACGTGTTCAAATTCTCTATCGCTCCTATCAGTAGAGACTTGCTTTTCGGCTCCTGTAATTTCATGTGTCAGAGGACTGTTCTTTGCTCTCGTCCCCAGGTGTGCTGTCCCTGCCTGCCTACTTCAGCCCGTACAACGATGGCTCTGTGTGCAGCGATGGACGGGCCGATGCTTACGCCCAGCTGGAACTCCGAACTTTAGAGCAGTCTCTGCTGGCAACTTGTGTTGGAAGCATCTCTGAGCTGAGTAAGTTTTGGATGTAAGCGAATGTGGGTTTCTTTCAGGGAAGCAGGAGAGGCATCCCTCTGCTGTTGAGGTCAGTGGGAGTGTTGCCATTGTTGACAGTGTGAGCAGTATTTGGCTAACGTATGTAAGATTTAATTGTTTCGTGGTGCTGTTTATGAAAATCAGGTTGTTTCATTAGACTACTTTATATTTAATTCACCTTGGAGATGTATAAGACGTGGCTTTTCTAGCCTTTTGGTAGTTAGTGGTGTCAGTGCCAACAGAAGATGGATGCTTTTGCCTAGATGCCTCTGGAGGTTTTCTCGTACGTTTGTGGAACACAGCAGTGGCACCTCCCTCAGATGGCAAAGAGGGTTCTCTTTGTTAGTGTTTGTGTGGTGGAAATGTCAAGGGTGCAGGATATTCAAGGAAAAGCTTTTTGGTTACTTAAAAAACAAAAAGCCAGGAAAAAAAAATCTGAGAGCACTTTGGTAACAAAAACTTGTTCAAAACCTTCTTTTTTAATGCTAACCAAATGAAATGTTCCATTCCTAGACTACTCAAAAGCCCCTTTAAAGTAAACAAAAATGATTTGTGTTTTCCCGGTCTACTTTTCCCTTGCAACATTTCTGCTGGCATCACTTTCTTAGTCTCCACCATCTGAATGCTAATGAATGTCAGGGCCAGCAAGGAGTTTGTGGGTTTCACCATTTATTTTGCAACCTGCCTTAATTTGAGGTTTTCAAATTCCTTTAACACACCTCTATTTATCCTGGAACACAAGAGAACATTTGTAGCATGGGCCTAAGATTGAATACAGCTTCCTCTCTCTCTTCCCCCGTCCCTGCTTTGGCCAACTTGGTCATTACATCTAGTGAATAGATCTCCTGATACAGTTGCCTACTTTTTTTTTTAAAAAAAAAAAAAAAAAAAAAAAAATCGTTGCTGCACATTGCCAGAAAAGTAAAGAGAGTGAGTATGCAAAGGAGAAGGAACGTTATTCTGAGCTGAAAATTTGAATTCCAGATGCATTTCTGCTATAACTGCGCAGACTTCTGTGTTAGTACCAACTCTAGAGGATTCGTGACACTCTTGTAAAATGTTTGGATCCTGGAGAGTCGGGAGCTACTGAAGTGGCAAGGCAGAGACGTTAGAAGGTTTTTCCATTCTGACGTGGGTCCTCAAATTGAATGTACTATGCAACAAATGAGTGCACAGCTTTACATTGCAAACTGAGATTTTTAATCCTCCATCGTTCCGAACCACTCATAACGAGTGAGAGTAGCTTTGGGGGGGGTTCTCCCTAACCTGTGTAACATTAGAATTCCATGGGTTCAGCTGGAGGTTGTTTGGCAAGTTCAGTATATTGCTGTTAGATATAAATGAACAAATAATAACTTCCTGTGAATTTCAGAGAGGTGCGACTAATTCATACGTGGCACGGCTAAGTTCAGGTCGCTTTCTCAGGAACCAGCTTTGCGATGGGGCGACTATTTCAGTTCCATCCTTTCCCAGTATTGTAACTGTAGGACACAATAGAGTAGCATTTCCTGTGAGAGTTTTAGGGCACTGTAAAACATAAAGCAAGAGAGGATTCTCCCAAGGAAAAAATAGATCCTAGCTATGTATAGTAATCGTTCGGCTCACTGGTATAGTAGTCACACTGCTCAAAGATGGAGTGTCTGAAACCTCTGTTGCAAAGCTCTTGAGAGTTTCTAATGCACCACAATAAAGGGAGAGTAAACAGGGTGTGCCCAAAGCAAGCTTATGACACAAAGACCAACTTTATGTGACTGCATAGCTGCTGTCTTGGGGTCATTGCTCTGTGAACTTTTTAAAAATCTGCAGTCTTAAAATCCTTTCCAAGTAGAAACTGCGTAATACAGGTTGCCTTCTTCCAGACCTCCTCAAGTCCACCAGTACTCTGACGTAGAGGCAGGTTGGCTCGAGTTCAAAGACCAAGAGGACTGAGCAGCCCAGAAAGCTCCTGGATTGAGCTTCTTACAAGGCTCAGGGGCAAATTTCTGGCAAGCTTGTGATAGTCGGCATGATAAAAATCGGCTTTTTAATAAGAGAGTCAGGTCTTGTTATGCTGGAGAAACCTGCAGCTAGAGTGAGGAGAGAAGTAGACTCCTAAAAGAAGGGATTTCTGTATTGAACATAACATCGTTAATTTGTCACTAGTGTCTGGGTGGGAGGGTAGAAAGTCATAACCCAGTGGAAAGAAATGGGAACAATCTCTTAACATAAAATGGTGATGCCGGTCATGAGAGTAAGATATTTTGTACTGGTATTACTGGCTTTGCCTTGTGAAAGCTATGCTCCCAGCTTGGGCAGTGGACATTTTACAAAGATATCAGTAGTTTTTGTAGGCAGGCAAGAAGCTGGTATAGGTGGTTGGAAAGAAGAAAAAAACAGCATTAAAACAGGATAGAAATATCACTGTAAAGCTGTTGTCCTGAGTGTACGGTGACTGAGAGAAGTTTCATTCTATATTTTCTAACTATAACTTGTCATTTGAAAGAAAGTTAAATTTCCCATACAACAACCAGTGAAATGGCAGCTTGTCGACAGCTTATGCCTTTGTGGAGGAAAAAAGAATATATGCACACAAAAGCCATTTCTCTTAGCTCTGAGAGATTTTATTTAGTTCAAAAAGTGTACCTAGGAGGACTGTGGATGAATAATAGATGCTTTTGCAATCTTTCTCTTTGTGCAGGTGATTTGGTTTCACGAGCAATGCACCACATGCAGTGCTTGAACACCATCCGCCCAGGAATGAGCCCCATTCGGCAAACCCGGCAGCAGCAGCCCATCTCCTGGTCCCCTGATGCTCTCCACACCCTCTACTACTTCCTGCGCTGTCCTCAAATGGAGTCCATGGAGAACCCCAACCTTGACCCTCCAAGAATGACCCTGAACAATGAACGGTACGTAGGGGTCGGTCAACTGTTCGCAGTCAGGGAGTGAGGCTAAGAAGGTCTCCTTTTGTAGAGTCACTGCGTGCGCATGGGCAGCTCAGGCCGCTTTGTGGGATGCTACCTATCAGGCATCAGTTATTCCTGCAGTCAAGCCAGGTTATGTTGTCAGCCTTGCCAAGTTTACAAAGCCTTGGAATTGGAACTGGAAAGTGAGCTGTTTTTTCATGCGATCTTTCCGAACGAGGCATATACTGTATGCTGCCAACAGGGCTTGTCTAGAGACGCTGCCAAAAGTACATGTGGTTGCCTAAAGCAGTAAAGACTTTACCAAAGAAAATGTTACCTTCTGAATAGCGCCAATTAACAATTGTCATCATTCTTGGGAAAAGCAATGTTGTTTGCTGCGGAGGGGTTTTGAAGGGATTTATGAACATCCTTCTTAAGGATTACTTCAGTTGGTGCTGCGTGTCTGGTATAGAAACAAATTTATACAGGAAGCCAATAACTAAACAGAAAATGCAGTGGGTCTCCCTACATTCTGCCAGCATCATAACTGGCTCTGAAAGTAGGCCCATTATTAGAGTGGGTCAGAAATTTTCCAGCGGGATGTTTTTTCTGTTAGAAACCTCCTGGTTTCCTTCCTGCCCAGCTCCTTGGCAGTCTGCCCGACAGGCTGGTGGCAGCGGCGAGCTGAGGAGCCCGCAGAGCCCTGGCCACAGGGTGAGTTCCTTGACGGGTCAGGCAGCTCCTGCTCTCCTGCTCCTCAGCTCAAAGGCAGTCTGATAGCTGGCTGCCTTGCAGTTGCATCCTGCAGGGATTTCAAAATTTCAATTTGAAATGCATATCCAGTGGTGTAATTATTTCAGAAATCTTACCTAAATGGGAAATTCTGATTTCTGATTAACTCTATCTATTTGTGCTAGCTTGCTCTTTGGATGTCTTTTAGCCTGCTGGGCATCAGACCGATGGCTCTTCCCAAAAGCAGCCCGTGGTTGGGGAGTGTTGTAGTGTAGTGAGGTGTTGAAGCCTGGGGTGGAGGCCACGTTCACAAACCAGAAAAGCAAGGTGCTTGTTGGACAGGTGAGCAAGGAAAGGAGAACGTCTCTGCAGCTTTCTAAATAGCATGGTTTCTTCTTCTCACCTTGGGCTTTACTGTCCTGAGCCCCAGCTTCTAAAGTTGGTATGAAATCATGGTAACATACAAGTAATTAATTCTTAAAATTAATTCTAAAAAAACGTACAAAACTTAGCCCTCTCTCTCTCTTCTTCCTATCCTTTCTGTACGTGTGGGGGTTATGGTGCTTTTTCCTCGGCTCCATGCTGGGTAGCCTGTTTTAGGTTTGGTTTTTTTTATCGAGACACTTCCTGGTTGGTCTCAGACAGCACTGTCTTCAGTCCGTGCATTTCTGATGCTGCAGATCAACCCTGTCTCGTGCAGCCCTACGCTGGTCTGCACCGAGCCTGCTGGCTGATTTAAGCAGCCCTAAAGGCTTCTTGTAGCTGCGTTCACCACTATTGGAGCTGTGGCTGATGGCTTCATGGCCGAGCTTGGCTAGTCAGGAGTGAGAAGACCTCTTCGTAGATTGAACTGTCTCCTTCTAAGGCTCTGAATTCTCAGGCCAGGGTGCAGAAAAACATACCAGACAGAAGGCAGCCTCTATAATTTCAGTGTTGGTAGGTTACTTTAGGTTAAGGGAAACTTAGGAGAAAAAGGTAAAATTGTCACTCTTAAGCTGTCTGTTCTGCCATAATATTTTGCATGTGGCTGGTCTGTGTAGCTGCTTCCACCGATCACTTGTTTGCATTCTCTTGGTTGCTGAACCATCTTTCTGTACCTTACTGTAGTTTGTACTGGACCAACTTCTTTGAGGTCTCAGTCTGGCGGGAGCTCAACTATTTTACAAAGTAAAAAAAGATTGTCTTTCTGTTTGTCTGATCCTCCCCAAAATCTTTTCAAAAAGAACAATCTGTGAGCAGAACTGTAGCATCAGAAAGAGGGAACTGATGTACACGTGTGAAGAACCAAGAGGAATTAAGTCAAGCTGAATAAAATAGGAATAGGAAGAGGCACGGCTGCACAACTCGAAGCCTGATGGTAGCTCTGTTTTTTGGGCTCGCTAATCCTAATTGAATGCCCTACCTAGTGCAAGATGATTTATTTTGCATTTCATGTTTGCACACTGGGCAAAAAAATGAGTTTTTATGGGGCCAGATTCTGTAAACTTGTACCACTAGTTCCCACAGTTGTACAGCTGAAGCTGCTGAACAGCTTGTATCAGAAATGTAGATTAAGCTCTCTGTTTTGTGTTGTGTTCTTTTCAGTCCTCTCAGTATAATGATGTTACTGCAGCTACTTGTTTTGTACGCTGAGGATAATAAATGAGTTAAATCAGGAGTGCAGTTATCTCTCCAATTGCTCCCAAACAATACTCTTCACATGGTTCAGTGGAGTTTTTTTGGAATGCAGGCTGCAACTCTATTCTATTTTAAAATCCGCACTAGATCCTATAACAGCTGGTGTAAGGGAAATTTCTGCCATTTTTTTCTGACCAGTACTTAGCTGTAAAGGAAATTAAAGTGGATATATTAAAATGGAGCAAAAACTGACATTAGAGGAAAAAAAGAAACAGAACCAGAGCGCTATCAGTTTAAATAACTGGCTTTGAAAAGTTTATGAAACCTGGAAATAAAATTAATACTGCCTGGTATACCAGAAATGAACGTCCTACCCTACCTTTCATTTGTTCCAAGATGCATTTGTATGCGTCTTACTGTATTGACCCGTGCACTCGTTATTTTGCATAGCCAGTGGGATAAATATTGCTAGCAGCGCTTTCTAGAGGAGATAGTTTACTCTTTGCTTGCTTAATAGGAGAGATGGTCGAGGCTGCCTGTGCGATGCCGGACTCATGGCATGATAGATGAGGGTACCGATTGACCTAATGTGACTTGGGAAAGCTGTGCAGCCTAGTTTTTTTTATTCTTTCCTGAGCTGTGCTAAATCAGCTGCAAACTCTGCATTGCTCTTTTGTGCATTTATGCTCTCCCTCTGGAATATGCTTGTTATGTGCACTGCAATCCCAAGTTGTTTTCGACTGGAAAAAAGATCTCTGTCACTAACAAGGACAATAATGCTGACCTGTTCTGCGTTTGCTTGTGCTTCAGTTTCTCGGCTGCTGTATAAATCTGTCGGTATTGAGCCCCAATCTGAAATTTAGCAAAGAGAGGCTGTTAGAGCTGCAGACTTGGTAAAACCTGATCTTGGGAAGATCTGTGAACTATGCTGGTTGAGTGGAAGGAACTGCAGTTGTTGAGTACATCTAGAGACAACCTGCTATCCATCTTGCTTGGCTTTCTGTTGTCTGTGAGCTTTCTCTCTGTCACACTGCGATGCAAAGTGCTGTGAAAATCGTAACACTGTAGGGTCTGGAAGGTCTTCACTGTACTTCACTTCAACGTGAAGGCAAGCATAGAATTCAAGTTCTGAAACCAGGACTAATGGAGGATGTCATATGCCATAAGGGGCTTTAAAAAACACTAGCCAAGCTTCTGAACATATCCTGCAGCAAACTGTACGAGGTATGAAAACATACACACTTGCACTTAGGTATGCACGGGCACCCCAATGAACAGAGCTAGTTTAAACTCATAAGCTGTGTGCCTTAGCCATGTTAAACACCTTGGCAACTAAAGCACTGAGCTGGGTGAACTGTAGAGTCCTGCAGGAATGGGGGAGTGTAGTCGTCTCTCTAGAGCTTGGCAGATAGCAGAGCTTTTTGTGTTCTGGCCTCCAGAATGTGAATGATTTGGGATACCAATAGATTGAAACTCTGGAAGGTTTGTGGGTCGGTTATATCTGGTTCTGATGCCTCCAGGTAAAGGCATTGGAGGAGAAGAAGGGGAGGAGGCAGAATTAGAGAGAAAGCACCCAGCTATCATGAGCAAAACATCTGAAACATTTCCACAGTGAAGGCAGCTGCTCGCTGTATGACCAAGCCATGACCCGCTTGGAACCCCAAAATGACCATATTTGCTGCATGGACAGTAAGCCACCTGCTGTTTGGTGTCAAATAGGCCACCTGAGGAAGTGTTTTGCAAATACAGAGTGCCACTTGTGCAATACTTTGGCAAAGGAATTAGACCCTGAGGTGAGGACAAGCTGCTTTACTCAGTAACGATACACCTGACTGCCTGAAGGCTGAGAGCTCAGCTGTGTCATCAGAGAGCACATCTGTCTTTGCTGCTGCAAGAAAGTATCTCTGCTGGGCAATAAGATTTTTAGAGCTTCTCAGAGATCATAGCCTGTACTGTGTCAGAGGTCAGACAATGTGTTTTTGGCCCATGAAGAGTGAGCAGATGCGTGGCACTCCCTCCTTCTGCTCTGTTTCTGCTCTGGGTTTTTTCCCACTGCTTATGTCAGGCTGGCTGAGCTTGGGAGCACTCCACAGTGTGAGATCATGTCCCAGAGTAGCAGAGCATGTTTGCTGGGATTGTTTGGGATACCATCACTTGAGAAGGGCTATCCAAAGGTAAATGAAGTTTTTTTTCTCCCTTCTTCACTTCTTCCCAAGCGGAATATACAGCTTTTCTCTTATTTTTAATGGTGTGTCAAGGCAAGAGTGCTCTCTCTGATACTTATCTTAAGGACTATTTGACTGCTCCCCAAAGAGCACGAATCGAGGTCAATATGATCGTCTCATTTTACAGCTGGGTGGACTAGTCTATCCTAAGTTAACTGACTTGGCCAGGATAGTGGTTTAGCCATAATGCTAGGAATAGACACCATTGACTGCCCTCATCCTCTCTCTTTTTGGTTATCATGTGTGTACAACATATACTGTAGAAAAGTTAACATGATCTAATACCTACGAATAGGGGAAGAAAGTTGGATCCTGCTTCCTTGTGTAGCTGATTATCTGTGTATCTTTGATAGGCTGAGCTTCCTCCTCTTCCAGCTACCCTATTTAAAAAAAAAAAAAAAAAGCTCAGTAAATTGTGTTTGCCTATTT